AAGGTATTGGAATAAAGATGTAGACATGGGAAGTAGTCTCAGCATAGCAAGGGGAGGAGATCCCCAAAACATTTGGGATTTGCTATAAGGTGAAGAGCGTTGAGAAGTGAGGCTGTGATGTAAGGGAAGCTTGTATATACCAGGAACCAGGGAGAAGGTGGGCTAGATTTGCATTTATGGATGGTGGCTGGGGTGGAGGCTGAATTTGCAGGAGGCCAGGAGAGCAGTGTAGAGATTGCTGTGTATTCCAAGCAAGACAGAGTAAGTATGGAAAGAAGGAGACCCATTTGAGAAATGTTTAGGACAAAGTTTCTCAAACTACCCAAGGACCTCTGAGGAGTCCAAGGACAAATTCTAGGGGGTCTTCAAGTTTATCTAGAGAAATACCATCTTAGGAAACAAGTATCACTCTATGAAATGGTCTTTCAATTACTCATCTTCACTGGCTTGGAGGAGTTTTTGTCTTTTCACCCTTAAAAGAATTATGAGTGCCATAACAAATGCAGAATAATGTGTTGGTATGCTGACAGCAGGACCTGATTTTCTCCAAACTGGGGTAGGATGACCACACCAGTTTAAGTGGTAAAAGGAGGAGATGGGTTAAACACAAGTGGAAAGGGGGAGAGGGGAGGATTTGATGACTCCCAGTTGGGGGAACAAAGGACAGGGTAGAGGATCAGCTGGGGAAATTCTCTGGGGATCCCTGTCAGTCCATGAGAACTTCCTGCTCTTCTTTGTTCTGGCCCAGGTGTTTCCCTCTTCCCCTATGGGCCACGTGTTCAAGACCAGGAGTTTGTCAGGAGGAGGGTGGACTTCACCTCGCCGCTCTTCAAGCCCCAGATTGGCTTCCCTTTTGGCTCCTCTCTCCGAGATTTCCTCTACGTGAGTCCCAGGCTGCAGCCCAAATGACCTGTGTTCTCAAGGCCCTGCTTCCCCTTCCAGGGCTCCGAGATGGCCCAGTGACTGTGACCTTGATCCTCATTGAAAATAAGGGAAAATGAAAGCAACACTGTTAGGCTCCTACTGAATTCCTGCCTCTGGCTTAGTTTGCATTCACAATCTTTACTGTCAGCGCGTTAGCCAAGGTAGACATGAATCTAGGCAAGGCTCGCCCTCCCACATGAACAAAAGTGTTCATCTCAGTAAAGAGATCCCGGGGCCCAGTAAGCTTTCTTCTGTTTTTCAGGGCCCTTTATATGAGCAGGAAGCTCTACCTGGGAAACAACTGATGCATTTTACATTTTCTGTAATTATTTCCTGGTTCCCTGGTCCAGGTACCCATGAGTCCTGGAAGAGAGTTGGAACGACAGTCATGGCCCCTGTGGCTTTCAGTGAGAGGGACTAAGTCAGGACACAGTGTGTGATGCAGTGATGGGGTGAGGGTTTTGGTCTTTTTAGCCCCATCTGATGTGGCACCAGCTTCAGGATGGAGCCTCAGGGATTTACCCAGAGGGGTCTGCTCTGTGACAGGCTGGCCCATAGATGGAGCCTGATGCTAAGCAGGACAAAACTTACCACCTTAGGAAGGACTTAGGACTAGAAGAATGTCCTGCGGGTGGACTATTTATGTGAGAATTAAGTAAAGGGGCTCTCCCGGCAGCCAGGGAGATGGATGACATGACCTTCCAGAGGTTGTTGACCCTCTAAAGTTCTACCCAGAGAGGCCTTTGAGGGTCACACTTCTGAGGAGCTGTCCCAAGGCTGCTTTGAATGTTAACCGAAAGAACTTTTATGCTCAGTTCACAGATAACGGTCAGATCATTTTCCCGGAGTCAGAGTATCAGATTTTCTCCCACCCCCACCCTCCTCTTGGTGGCTTCACAGGCAGGGACGGTCTGGCTGTGGTGGCTCCATTCTGGGATGATGCTGATTTCTCCAGCCGCAAGGGAACCATATTTTACCAGGTGGGTCTTTCAAAGCTTGGCATTCAGGATCCTCCAGAAACCAACAAGGAGAGACAAAGAGCCGGGCAGGGAGGTGCACGTGTTACTGCTGTCAGAGCCAGGCTCCATGTGGACAGGCATTGATGCTTAAATATGAGGGTGGGAGGAAGCAGATTAGGACTATTACATAAACCCAGGAATTCCCTGACACAACCATGAGAAGACTTGCAGATGACAGGGATGAGGGTTGGCAATCCAGAGTTTTAGTGTAGAATAAGGCTGTAGGGGGTCTTTCCTAATAAGCCTGAGTCAAGCCGGACCGCTGCATGTGCTCCTGGATTGGGTTAATGATTCCAGTCAGTGGGAGCACATAATGAAAGCTCCTGCAGGCGAATGTGGACTGTGCCCCTGCCATGGACAAGGTGCTATAGAAGGTCGAAAGATGGAAAAACACATGCTTGTCCTCAAGGAGTTTTGATGGGTCATGGGGAAGTTCAAATGGGCAGAGGTGGCTATGCTATCCAAGTCATTTTGTGCTAAGAGATGCATGAGTTCAAGTCCAGAAGACTTGGGTCTCTGGACCTTGACTCTCTACTCCACACACCCTAGGCCTCCCTGCTGCTGAATTTGAATTAATTTTGAGATACAAGGAACAGACTGAAAATGTAGGTCTGGGAGAGGGAAGGATGTCAGATGTGGGTAGACTAAAAATGATCAGGATTACCATGCAGAAAGTGGGGTCTCTTAAGGGTGTTGAGCTAAGACCCTCATTTCCTTGTCCTTAACTATCTTCCTTTCCTAGGAATATGAGACGCTCTACGATGACAAAAAACCACTTGTAGTCCAGCAGGTGGAGTCTTGGATTGAAAACTTTGCAAACACCTGGAACTACAAAGCCAGGTGGACCCTAAAGGTCACATGGATCAATGCCACTGCCTATCCCGCCCAGCGGACCTCCGGGGTGAGTGACCCATGGACAGCTCCCTGCGAACCATCTGGAAGTCAGACTTCCTAGAATCCTAGGCAGGGGCCAATCTTCTAAAATCTTCTCTGACTCCAGGCCAGATGGCTGATTATAGCACTCCTGCCCCCACCCCGATGCTGAGCACTCACTGTGCACCAGGATGACCCAACCCCTTACGTTCACAACCTCAGCAGCCCAGAGCACTGGGTATTAGGAGGTTGAAATTTAGGAAACAGAATTTTGTAAGTCAAATGGCTGGCTATTGGCAATTTTACATGGTTCAACCTGATAATATTATCCACATTTTAGAGATGAGAAAGATGATGCTTAGAGAGGTTAAGCAACTTGCTCAAGGTCACCTGCTAGCAAATGACAATTCCAGGCCTGGAACTGAGGTTTTTCTAACTTCAAATGCCGGCTCTCAACTGTAATGCCTTCCAGTGGAAATGGGCACACCACCCTGGTCTTCCTTCTGGGGACTCACAGCTCCTACAGTCAGAAGTCCTCCCTTGTGGCTGTTCTAAAGTCACTTGCCTCTTTGTTGGTTCAACAAGTTCACTGATTACCTACTTTGTACAAGCATAGTGCTTGCCATCCTCCCTTAGAGAAACTCCAGTCTCGCCTGCTATGGTCCTCCCCACTGTCCAGGTTGAGGAGACATTTGGACAATGTCCTTAAATACCTGAGGAACCTACATAGGCCCCTCCCAGCTCTCTGGTGTCTTGGCTAATCTCTCAGGTTTCTGATTCTTTCTTACACAAACTGTCTTCCAACTGGTTTCTAACCCAGAGCCTTTTATCACCCTCCCTGGAAAGAAGTCAGAAAGTAGGCAAATGTACTATGCTAGGTGCTTGACACCACAGGTGAAAGGTGCCCTACACACTCCCAAACTTGTCAGCATGTTAAGCCCATGCCTTTTCTCCAGGTAGGCCAGGAAAAGATGATGTGTGCATCGAGGCAGGGGTGTGGGGTGAATGATGGGACATCAGGGAGGACACTCCAGATTTCTCACAGGCATCTCCATGTTTGTCTCCATCCAACCCCCAGACCAACACCTACCAAGCCATCCTCTCCACAGATGGGAGCAGATCCTTCGCCCTGTTTCTCTACCAAAGTGGTGGGATGCAGTGGGATGTAACCCAGCACCTAGACAACTGGGCCCTCATGGGCTTCTCCAGGTAGGATGGGGAGGGGCTGCCAGCTCTGAGCAGGTGATAGGAAGTGGTGCAGAGCAGTGTTTTCGCTGCACACACACTCCCCCACCCCAGGACCAGGCTGAGTCCCGCTTGTCGATGCTTCTGACTCACACTGGTGCCAGTTCCCATTAAAAGATGCTATTTCTTGCTGATTCACATTAAAAGATCACTATTCATTGCCATTCTCCTTTTCTCCCCCCAGAACCTGTGCAATGTAATCATTCCCAGAACTTTGACTTCTCTGATTTCCACTCACATTAGCTGACCTTTCTTGACTTCTCAAATAGCATCATCATAATGGCCAATATTTACTATACTAACTACTTAATATGCATTATTTCATTTCATTATTACAACAAACCCATGAAGGAGATACTATTTATTTCCCATTCTACAGATAAGGAAATTGAGGTACAAATAGATAAGTAATTGCCCAAAGTCACAGAGCTGGGAAGTGGCAAAGCAGGAATTTGAACTCAGACATCTAAGGCTGAAATCTGCCTTCCCGACTTCTGGTGCCCCTGGGCTTGGACCTCACCCCTCACCCAGGGCCACCAGCAGCTTGTGGGGGGTCTGGGAAAGACGGAGAGCAGAGGAATGGGGCTGTAGAGGGTGACACTGGTTCCTATGTGTGAAGGTGGTTCAGTCTCTGAGCAACAGTTCTCGACCCTGGTATTTCCTGGTGCTGGTATGTGTCATCACCATGAAAGTCACTTGTCATTTGTTACTGGAAATTGCTGCAAATGATGTTCTCTTATAGGGTGCCTCTATAATTACACTGCTTTCACTTGCTTTTTAATGTGCAGTGAAAGAGAAAGGATTGAAATTATCTCACTACCTAGGAATTTCACACCATCCAGAGTTTGCCTGCCCACCTCCACCCCAGGTGTCACACCTGTGTGTGTCACCCATCCTGTGTCAGAGGAGGAACCATCAGGAGTCACTGCTCTGAGGCATGCACCCAGAGAGGCTGCAGGCGCCGGTCCAGGATTTTCTCCTTCCTGGAGCAGGGCTTTGAACCCCATCAAGGGGGGGTGGGGCTGGGGTGCAACCATCACGTCAGGTCCTCACTCAGTTCTGAGAGCTTTACAAATGTTTATTACATTTCATCCTCACAATGCTATGAGATAGATGCTGTGTAATCTCTTTTACATCGCTGTGAAAACAGAATCAAAAAGGTTAAGCAACTTGCCCATGGTTACCAAGCTGCTAAGTGCTGGAATCAGGAGCTGAATTCCTGTCTGCCTAACTTCAGAGACTGACTCTTAACCATCCCGACATACAGTCCCCACCAATCCCTAGCTGCAGGGAAACATACCAGAAGGAGGCCTGGACTCTGTTGTCTTCACACCAGCCTCATGACCAGTGTCTGGCCCTATCGATCAGATGAGGAGTAGATTAGTCTCCCCGCCCAACTCTCCCCCTTTCCTGCTTAGTGGTGGGAGTCAGTGATTCTGGCTGGCTGGCTGACCAACTGACAAGTAAAGACTAACTGGACTGAGTGAGTGAGTGACTGGTTGGATGAATAACTTGCCGGCTGAGGGGAAAGACCCTGAGTGTGACAGAGGCCTTCCATTCTTTCCTTTGCCCGCAGTGGAGATGGGTATTATGAAAACAGCCCGCTGACATCCCAGCCAGTGTGGCAGAAGTATCGTCCGGACCAATTCCTGAATTCCAACTCAGGTAAAAGTGTCGCCTAATCACACTTGGGCTGGACTTAAGTCCTCTTTTGTCCTCCACTTTGTGGGCCATGACAGTACCAGAGGGGCAGCTCTTGAGCATCTATCTCCATCATCCTGAAGGAAGTCCCAGCACAAACTGACCTCCCACAGATGCAATAGGGACTTGACACTGCCCAGAGAGCAGCCGGAACCTTCTGTGCTCTCGCGCAGTGCAGTCTTCCTTGGGGCTCTGTCTCCTCCCTGGGATGAGCCAAACCAAAGAGCTCTCTCAGTGGGGGCCCAGAGCCTGGAAGTGAGAACAGGGGTGTGGCTGGGTATAGGAATATGAATGGGTAGTTAGGGCAATACTCCAAGTGTCCTGTCCCAGAAATGGAATGTGAATCCAGATGAGATCCCTTAAAGGAACCTACCAAGAGAAGTTCCAGAGGTCTGACATTCATTTGGTCATTATTTATTGAGCACCTGCTACATTCTGGACACTGTGCTAAGAACCAGGAATGTGAAATAAAAGGCAAAAGCCTGACTAAGTTTGCTCTCAAAGAGCTGTCACTCTAGCAAGAAGGAGGGTACTTCAGTGTCAGGAAGAAGTCTATGGGGCCTCCTCCATGACTCAGTGTACTGTTGAGGAGCCCCAAAGGGGAAGAAATGATCTTTTCCAAAATGTGATAGAGTAAAGAACAGTTTAGCATTTGAAATCAGTCATGTAAATTGTGAAGCATGAATCCAGTTCTATCTGTTCTGTGGCAGGAACTTCCGGTAAACAGAAGCTAAGTCAAATCATGGGTGCCATCTTGTGGAGAATGCTGCCCAGTCATTAGAATCCTCTGTCAAGATGCTTTGACTTGGACCCAGGGGGTGCAATACAATAGATAGAAAGAGATGATAGATAGATAGATAGATAGATAGATAGATAGATAGATAGATAGATAGATGATAAATAGATAGATAGATAGATAGTATTTGGAGGGAGAGTATTTGATATGTTTCCCTTGATACCAGGTCATTGTGGAGAAGATACACAAACAGATAATCATAAATAATAATTATCCTTCTCAAAACCTTAACAAATTGTAGTTTTCTTGACAATTACTTATTTTGTTGGGGAACAGGGTCAAATCGAATGTCCTATTATATCTTACTAGAGGCCCGGTACATGAAATTCATGCACTGGGCGGGGGAGGGGGGTCCCCTCAGCCCGGCCTGTACCCTCTCACAGTCCAGGAGCCCTCGGGGGATGTCTGACTGCTGGCTTAGACCCACTCTCCCCAGGGAGCAGGCCTAAGCTGGCAGTCAGACATCCTTAGCGCTGCCACAGAGGCAGGAGAGGCTCCCGCCACCACAATTGCGCTCTCCAACCATGAGCCCGGCTTCTGGCTGAGCGGCACTACCCCTATGGGAGTGCACTGACCACCAGGGATCAGCTCCTGTGTTGAGCATCTGCCCCCTGGTGGTCAGTGCATGTCATAACAACTGGTCATTCCACCATTTGGTTGATTTGCATATCAGCCTTTTATTGTATAGGATTGGACTCTGGAGCCCCCCTTCTCACTCATGGGCAGTATGTACTTATAATTAATTGAAGGTCTATTTAAAGTTCAACCCCCCCATCAGGGTCTCTACTCCCACTTACTTCAACCTTCCTAGGATGGTGTCTGGGCACAGCCCTGTGGTAATGGAGCAAGTCCCAGCTTCACATGCCAACTTCTCTGTGGCTTCCCAGCTGGCCTCTGAGCATCGGCCCCTGCCCTGGCTGCTTTGGCCACTGACTTGTCTGGTGGGAGAGCCGGGGTCAAGGATGAAAGCAGGTGTCTGAGTAGGTGGCTAGTGGGTGGTGGCATCATTCACTTAGATATAGGGTGCATGTGGAGGAACTGATTTGGGGTTTGGGGAGATTGAAAGGTGCTGGAGCTTAGAGTGACAGATAAAAGGGTAGAGTGAACTGAAGCTAGGGGCCAGGGTTTGGCTCTGAGTTGGGTGTAGGTCCTAGCCCTTGTCCCAAGGTTTCACACTAAGATCCATGCTTTGAGGGCTTTTGGAGGTCACATCAAAGGGGTCTTTGGGGGAGGAATTGCTGCCAATCTCGTTTATGGAAGAGCTGTCCAGAGGGAGAAAGAGGCATACAGAGGTTACATTTCTGAGTCTTGATGTTCCCTGAAGCTATTAGTAAAACAGAACCCTTGGCCCCAGGCCCTCAGATAACCCCTTCTTCATTTGCTCCTCCAGGCCTCAGGGGGCTGCAGGTCTATCAGCTGCATAGGAGAGAAAGACCCAACTACCGTCTCAGGTGCCTGCAGTGGTTGAGACAACCTCAGTGGCCCAGCTGGGACTGGAACCACATCTCCTGCCCTTGCTCCTGGCAGCAGGGACTATGGGACTTACGATTCCAGCCCATCCACATAGGTGACTCCTCCTTCCTGTCTCTTGGGGCATCTCCATGGTCCCACAAGCCCACCCACCATCTCTCCAGTCCCCCCCTAACCTGTCCCTTTCAAGGCATCCTCAGCCCCTCCCCAGAAACACCGCACCCTAATCCTGCCCCCCACCACAGGCATCGGGCCTGAGTGTGCGTGGACTTGTTGCAGGCTGGTGGGGCCTCGGCAGCAGGCAGCTGTGCAGCTTCACTTCCTGGCGTGGGGGCGTGTGTTGCAGCTACGGGCCGTGGGGAGAGCTTCTGCAAGGCTGGAGAGTGCAGAGCCCTTGGCAGTTTGGTATGTGTGTCCTCAGAGATCTCAAGCCCCCTTCCTCTGGAGCTCTCTGTTCTTCCCCATCAGAGACCAGCCTTGGGTTCCATGCCAAGCAGTGGGATCGAAGCCTCTTGTCCCCACTCCCTTCCAGTTCCTTCCCCTCACTGGATCTCAATTTCCTGATCTTGTAACCGTAGGCAGCTCCCAACATCCCTTCCAACTGACATTTTAGGGATTTATGAGTGAGTGCCTCTTGACCATCTCCACTTGGCTCCATAGCCCCAGCCTAGAGTGGAGGCATCTTTCTAGGGAAGCGGAGAGGTCCTAGTCTAACCCTGGCCTCTGGACCCATAGTAGCAGGCTGTCTTGGGGAAAACATGGTGTCATCTCCATCACTCTTCAAAGGAACTAGAGAGCTCAGATGGGGGTGGGGGGGAGGAGACAGGTAATGTGTGTCTTCCCCTTCTTCCCTATAATCCAAGCAGCCTCCATAGTTCCAGACCATCAGCCATGCCCGCCCCCACACAGCATTTTAAGGATAGTGGGACTCAGCACCCCACCTTTCAAGAAAGGAGGTTCTTGCCCTAGCCAGTTTGGCTCAATGGATAGAGCATCGGCCTGCGAACTGAAAGGTCCCAGGTTCGATTCTGGTCAAGGGCACATGCCCGGGTTGTGGGCTTGATCCCCAGTGGGGGATGTGCAGGAGGCAGTCGATCCATGATTCTCTCTCTTCATGGATGTTTCTATCTCTCTCTCCCTCCTCCTTCCTTTCTGAAATCCATAAAAATATATTTTTAAGAAAAAGGAAAAGAAAAAAAAGGAAAGGAGGTTCTTTATATTTGGCCTTGTACTGGCCCACCTGGGAGCCCAGCTGCAATAAGCTTGGAAGGGAGACAACAACTAGTTCCTGGCTTAAGGTCATTGGGCAGGGTGGGATCTGAACTGAGGTATGCCTGATTCCCAAACCATGGCCTTGCCACATATATCATCCTGCCCCACGAACCTTCCAGCTGGGTTCTGCAGGTCTTCCATGTCCCACTCCCCGCACACACCCCTCAACGCACTGCTCTTCTCCACAGAGCAAGAACTGGAGCCACAGGACTGGTGCTGCCGCTGGAACGACAAGCCCTCCTTCTGCGCCCTGTACCAACAAAGGCGGCCCCGCATCAGCTGTGCTGGGTACCGGCCCCTAAGGCCTGGTGAGGCTGCTGGGGCCTGCCCTGGAGCAGACCCAAAGCAAAGGATCTGGGGTTGGGGCAGCCTCTTGGGGTCTGGACAAGGGCAGCACTAAATTCCTGGGCGGGACTGTGGCCATAAGGAAGGTGGAGATGGTTCTGGCATTCGGTGCATGGCAAACAGAGGAGCTTTGTACGTGCTATTGGGGAAGGGGTAGGACTAGGGGATGGGAGATAATGAGCAGACATGGGTGTGGTGGGGGCACAAAATGCAAGAGGATTTCCAGGGAAGATTCTACAAGCCATGAACAACTCCCAGGCTTGTGTCTACCTGGGTAAATGCCCACCTGTGGGCGGTGGGGAATCTCAGACCTTTCCCTCCTCTGCCATGCCAACGTGGTATCTCCCTTTTCCAGCCTGGATGTTCGGGGACCCCCACATCACCACCTTAGATGATGCCACTTACACCTTCAATGGGCTGGGGGACTTCCTGCTGGTCAGGGCCAGAGATGGAAACTCATCCTTCCTGCTGCAGGGCCGCACTGCCCAGTCCGGCTCTGCCCAGGCCACCAACTTCATTGCGTTTGCTGCTCAGTACAACTCCAGCAGCCTGGACCCCATCACAGTGAGTGAGGCAGGGCCTCTAGACATCCTTGCTCCCCTCACAGAGAGCCCTCAGGGACCTTCAGCTGGAAATCGAGGCCCACGAGGAGAATGAGAAGAAGGGAAGGGGGCAGGAAGGAGGGAAAAAGTTTCCTGCTGGTGTAGTTTGGGAGTCAACCCGGAGACACAAGATTAGGATCCAGGCTCCAAAGGTTAGGTGGAAGAGATGTCTCAACTTCCAGTGCCTTAGTTTTCTTACAGGAAAATGGTGATAACAATATTACCTACCCCACAGGGCTAATGTGAGATTGTAATGAGGTCACCTAAGACATGTGCCTAGTTCTGAGCCTAACCCATGCTATGCACTCCATAGGTGTTAGGTAGAAAAACCTCACTGTCACACTCTCCATCACCTTCATCTTTGTCCAGGGCTCAGGTTCTAAGCTCTTCGCAGCCTCCTTTCTCAGCCTCCGGGCTCACCTGCAAGTCAGCCTTAGTCCTCCTCCAATTTTCTTCCAGGTTCAGTGGCTCCTTGAGCCCAATGACACAATCCACGTGCGGCTCAATAACCAGACTGTGACATTTGAAGGTAGGCTGGGGAAGCTGTGAGGGTTCAGAGGCTGCCCTGCGATTGGAAGCAGGGTGGTGGGGTATGGAGGCGGCAGCACTGGGGCGGAGGAGAGTGGTGGCCACTCCTACTGTCCCTTCAGCAGCTGTGCCGAGCAGCTCCTTCACCCAGGAGCCAGGCATTAAACATTTCCTCCTTCCTCCAGGGCTGTGACAGCCTTCCTGTGGCAGCCCCTGTCTTCAGTCCCCAGGTAGAAGTGGGTGGTGTGGCCTTGAGGGGTACCCTGTGCGTTTGGTTTTGAGGCCACTGGAGAAGACGCCTGCAGGACATCCCAGAGCTGCTTCGTGTCCGTCTGCTTTTTGAACACTCATCACTGCCAAGTCTTAGGCCTGCAAGGACCAATGCTGATTTCTTCCTCATCTGTCTCCCAACATTCTAGACCAGGAAATCTTCAACACCACTGGAGTCATAATGACCCGCAATGGCTCCCTGGTGACAGCCAGCTTAGATGGCACAGTGATCATATCAGTGACAGCTCTCTCCAACATCCTGCACACCTCCTGCAGCCTCCCAGAGGAGTACCGAGACCGCACAGAGGGCCTCCTGGGTAAGAAACAGGCAGAGCCCTGACTCTGAGGCAGTGGCCACAACAGGAGCTCAGATCCTACCCCCCCTTCCTGGTGGTTCCCTACCCATTGGCCTATGGACATCCCAGGCTGCATTTCCCTTTCTCAGCCTCCGTGGAACAGAACCCTGGGGCCACAGAGGGGCAGGGAAGGACCTTCAGCTACCTTTGAGTCTCACTTCCTGTCCTCCTAAAGCTCCACTTCTGGGGCAGCCAAGGGAGCATCCAGGATGGGCTCTGAGGAAGGTGGAGTCAGCAGCCACCTTCTTCTCCTACACCTCACACTTTCCTACCTCTCCCTCCATTGCCCCCATTCCCTCCTCTTTCTCTCCTCCTCCCTCCCTGAAGCAGAAAGGTGGACTCTGAGGTTATGGTCCATCCTCTACCCTCCTCCTAGAGGTCTGAACCAAGAATAGATGCAACAGAGAGAGGCTTCCTGGGCCCCCTGCTCCTCCTCACATCTTGAGTGTGCCCCGTTGGATGCTTCCCAGGGAATGGGGAGAACCAGTCACAGGGTGGCCAACCTCCTACTCTGTCCCTCAGGGGTCTGGAACAATAATCCAGAAGATGACTTCAAGATGCCCAATGGCACCACCATTCCCCAAGAGAGCAATGAAGAGATGCTTTTTCACTATGGAATGACCTGTGAGTCTGGACTTCAGAGTGCTGGGGGTAGATGGGACAGGGCTGGGATGTCTCCCTCAGGCCTGTGGGAACCAGACCTCTGTCCTTTGTGAGGGAGGGGTAGAAAATTTAGGAGGATTCTGGTGCCACCCCAGACTTGTTTCCTCCATCCCACTCCCACCCATGTCTCTCTACCTGGCAGAGAAGATGAGGGAACGAGATGGCCCTCAGTCACTAGAGCAGGGATTTTCATACTCAGAAGCCAGAAGTCAACCTGGCCTTTTATACCCCACCTACCTCAAGCCATATAAAGTGAGAGTAAGGGGTGGACACTGCAGAAACATAGCTGGAGTCCCATCCCTGGTACCATCACCATCGAACCTCTTGTGTTCTAGGGGAAATCAACGGAACAAGCCTCCTTGGCAAGAGGGATGACCATCTGCCTTCAAACTTCACCCCTGTCTTCTTTTCCCAACTGTGGAATAACAACTCCTTGGATAAAAATTCAACCTCCAAGTGTAATGGAGATAAACAATGCATCTATGACACCCTGGCCACAGGAAACACAAAGACTGGACTAGACACTAGGATGCTCTTTAGAAGATACCAGCAGACGAACAACACCCTCCGTAAGTGGCATGAGGCCCAGGGCGGCATTTTCAGAGTTAGGGGGCAGATGATGAGCCCCCTTCCATAACACCCCTTTAAGCTACACATTAAATTTACCAGGTTCTTTGACTCATGTTATTCCACTGCTCAAACCCTCCCATGATTCCCCAGCCCACTCTGTTCTTATGATGACCTTCAAAGTCTTATCCAATTTGCCTCTTGAAATCTACTAGTACTCCCACCTTGCTCCCTCCACTCCAGCCCAACTGGCTTCTTTGTGTCCTTCGAACACGCCAGGCTCACTCTCAACTCTGAGACTCCACACAGGCTGTTCTCTTTGCCTGGAGTACCCTTCCCCGTGACAGCCCCTCACCTCCTTCAAGTCTCTAGTTAAATGCCACCTTTCTTGGCTAGCCTGTCTAAAATCTCACATTCACCCACACTCCCTACTCACTTTCCCTGCTTTATTTTTTTCTCCTTAGCATTTATAACTATCAAACATATTTTCTAATTTTCATTGGTAACTTTTGTATTCTTTGTTCACTGCTGTGTCCTCACTGCCTAGAATAGTGCCAGCCATATAGTAGGTGCTCAATAAATATTTAAATGACTGATTGAATGAATGAATGAATGAAGAAAAAATGAAATGGAAATAGCGAGTCTCCAAAAAGCAGAGACCAGTAAAAAGGTTTAACTCCCTATTTCCTGAAAAATGCAATGCCCACTTAGATATTACCCTCACAGTTTTCAGTCCTCTTCCAAAGTTAACACTCTGTGACGGTCTAAACAATCCGTTTTTGGATTCACTTCGTACCAACCTCAGCATAGCAAGAAAGAACTTGAAATGAATCCCATTTTGGGAAAAGACAAAGAGAGAATAAAGATTTGGCCAGGTGGGCAGTACAATCCCAACCTGCTCTGCATAGGTCCGAGAGCAGATACTTCCAGAGGTGGGTCACAGTCCTGTGAATGCCTCACACAAGCCAGGAGACTGGAGAGAGAGGAGGCCCACAAGCCCATTTGCCTTGGGCTCCAAATCCCCTCTTTGTGTTCCAGATCAGTACCCACCTTCTATTGAGGGTCCCCAAATGGTGAAAGCCTACAAGGGGGAGACCATGATGATTCAATACAAAAGCAGCTCTAAGGACGTCACGTTCACTCTCAGAAACAGCTACACTAAGGACTTCAAGCTTTTTGGTAAGAATGTTTGGCTGGGGACATGGGGGATGAGTTCAGAGACAAGGTTTGGGTAATTTTTCATTATTATATCCTTTGCAACTTCATCTCACTTTTCTATTGGAATATCCAAGACCAACATTTCTTAGGCATAATCCCTATAATTCAAACAGGTGCTCACCCCCATGGTGAATAGTGATGGGCTTACAGAGATTTGGCCTGCTAGCTAGACTGACTTTGGGCATGTACAACTGATTCAAAGATCATTTCATCTCAATCTAATCTATAGTAATAAAAGGTTAATATGCTAATTAGACTGGATGTCTTCTGAATGTACTTCTGGACAAAGCCACTGTGGTGGGGGCCAAGGCAGAAGTGGTTAGGGGCGATCAGGCCAGCAGGGAAGAGCATTTAGGGGTGATTAGGCTAGCAAGAGAGGGAAGTTAGGGGAGATTAGGCTGGCAGGAGAGGGCAGTTATGGGCAATCAGGCTAGCAGGCAGAGGCGGTTAGGGACAATCAGGCAGGTAGGCAGGTGAGCCGTTAGAAGGCAGCAGTCCCAGATTGTGAGAGGGATATCTGACTGCCAATTGTCCAGGGATCGGGTCTAAACTGGCAGTTGGACATCCCCTAGATTGGAAAGGGGGCAGGCTGGGCTGAGGGAACCCCCTCCCCATGTACGAGTTTTGTGCACTGGGTCTCTAGCAATATATAATCACCTTTAACCATCTTTGTGTAAGCACTGAATTATTAGAATAAAGCATAACAAAGAAATGCTAATTTAAAATATTTTCATATCTACTTTTTAAAAGGACATAACGTGGAACAAGATTTAAAGGAACACAAATACCTTTGTTTGGAACGTTTGTCACTATTTTTATTTGTCAACCATGTTTATCTAACTTCATCTCTCCTTGTCTGCTGTTCTGGGCTGGGACAAAGCAAAGCTTCATCACTCCTTCTCAGTGATGCTGTGGAGTCCCCTAGGCCTGCAACGTAGTCTGGGTCAAAGAGCCAAAGCCTACAGGATGCAGCTTGTCTTCTGTTCCCAGCACTGATATGCTGGTGACTGCTCTTTGCCAAACCAAGGCCTCCAGGAACCTTATTCTGAGCTCTGAGCACCTCTCTGCCTAATTTTCTTTCCCTGTGCATCCGGAGGGACTGCTTTGTCTGTACCCTTTGCTCCATGTGGCATCCTGCCAGGGGCTGGACAATGGCATCAGGAGATTTCTCCTCCACTGGACTCTAGGAGGGACTGCTTTGTCTGTATCCTTTGCTCCATGTGGCATCCTGCCAGGGGCTATGGCATCAGGAGATTTCTCCTCCACTGGACTCTTCTCCTGAAGAGTGGATGGCCTGGAAGTTACTCTTGTCTCCTCCTACTATCAGCTCCTCTTAACCTGTTGTTTTAAGATTTTTCTATTTTCTTCAGTAACATAAGACCAGTTTGATTGGAGGAGTCCTATAATATGTAGCACTGTTTCACTGCAGTCTGGTGTCTGAAGGGGTGGCTGGCCAAAGGTCCAGGAAGTGAGAGGGTGGGCAAGAAATCAGGACAAGGGTTGGGGCTGCTGTGAAGGTGAGGCCAATATGACCTACAGTGTAGCGTGGGGATGTGTCGGGAGGATCTGGCCTTCACCCTCCATACCCCGTGGATGTCCTGTCCTGGTGCAGGCCCAGGCAGGTTGCTCCTTGAGGGTTTCTTCAGGATCAACTGCCTTCCCCTCTTTGGAGTTCCACTCTACACTCAGTTAGTTGGGCTCCAGCTTGGAGCGTGACCACTCCAGGAAACCAGCCTTGCCTGAGGAAATGCCTGGTGAGGTTTGAGGGGTGGTCTGAGGGAGATGGAGGATTCCAGCCTTGGTTCTCAGAGTGTTAAATGCCAAGACGTGTCAGATGGCAGAGAAATCAAGGCTTCCACCTCTCAATGACCTCATCTTCCTTGGGGCAGAGAATGGGACACTGCTCTGGACACCAAACTCGCTGGAACCATTCACTCTGGAGATTCTAGCAAGAGATGTCAAGGACAACTTATCATCTCTACTCCAGCCAAAGACCGTGGTCTGTGCTTGCAAGGGAAAGGAACAGTGTTTATACAGCAAGACCAGCTGGGTGGGCAATTCCTCCCTGGAGGTGAGTGCTGGGACGAGGGTGAGAAGGAGGTTTCCATTTTGGAGGGGAAAGCAAGTGGAATTTGAAAAGATATCAAAGCCCCTCTGTGGTCATGTGTGTTGGGAGGTGGGTGGAACTGAGGTAGGTGAGTAGAGCAGATACCATCTCAGGCCACAAACTTATTCATGTGAGAAATAGAACTTTCTTTACTGCTTATAGCTCAATTAATTTTTATCTCCCGGCTCCCATTCTGCCAGGCTGGCAGGGAACTTGCAGCTCAGGCTTTCCTAGCATCCCCCCTGGTCCCCAGCTCCATTTTTCTGAAACTAGGCACTGAGGTGTGGGGTGGGAAAGTGTGGTCCCTAGGCATGAGTCTACACTGATCCCAAGCTCCACACTCTCCCCTCTTCAGACCCAGGAAGTGTTCTGCGGCTCTATGCCTTGCTCAGACACAGGCAGCCTTTACTAAGGTGGCTTAATGTCCCGCACAACCATTTCCCTCTGGGGTCTCATCACCATGGTGCTGGGAAGAGAGGTGGGGAGTCCAGGGGCTGGAAAAGGGGAAAAACATAGAGAGTGGGAAAACAGAGTCAATATATTATTCTAGAGATCCCAGAATTCCCAGTCTTAGAAGTAAAAGTGTTGGAGAGTTGCATTTCAGGGAGATTTCCAGGGTCCTCTCAGAAGATGGGTCAGAAAAGAGAGACCAGGGAGCTTGATGAAGTACCCAAACCTCGGCCTTCCCTGTGCTGTGTTCTGCTTACCGTGTTCTCACGGTGCTGAGCAGTGAGACGCTGTCTTCTTGCTTTGGGAGTCAACAAGGGGACGAGGAGCAGGAACCCGCAGCTTTCAGGGGGTCCCATTTTTGAGGGATAGTAGAATGTTTATTTAGCTCTGTCTTACTCTAAAAAGGATTTCGGTCAAAGAGACATGGTGTAAGAAGGAAGAGGCAGAGCATCTGGGTTAGAAACCAGGCACACAGAGGGGTGGGGGAAAGAAGGGCCCAGGGAGACGAGTGGGCTAGAGACCATGTGCCTCTGGGCGGGACCCTGCAGGCCCAGGGCCTGGTCAAGAAGGTGCTCAATAAATACTGGCAGAAATAAGACAAGGTCTCAGGTCCCATGGGTTCGCAGACTGGAGGAGTCAGTACTGAAACACCAAGATGCCCTTAATGGTTCAGCCTCCTGGCTGCCCAGTGATCAGCAACCCATTCCAGGTGGCCAGCTGCAAGTGTGACAACACCACCTTCGGCCAGTACTGTGAGCGTTCCAAGGACCTCTGTGATGAGCAGTGCTTCCCGAATGTGAAGTGTATTCCTGGGCAGGGCTGTGATCCTTGCCCCCCGAACCTAATTGGGGATGGGCGTCACTGTACAGGTAAGCTTGGAATAGGGCCCGGGTAGGAAAAGTTTCTGGAGACAGGTGATACCCAGGGGTTCTAGGACAGCCATGAGCAAACCATTTCTCTCCCTTTTCTAGCAAGTATTTAGAATGCTCAACATAGTGGGTGCAGTAAGGAGTTAAGGTTTGCATGGTAGGGTGTGAGGCTGAAGGAGAAGAGATTATATAGGCATGGTAGAGAGGCCAAGGAAGAACAGGCCTGAGACACTGATTGGGAAAACCGCAGTTGGACCCCAGCAAAAACCCAGGGCAAAAGATTGAATGTGGCCTGGAGAAGAGAAGGGACTTCTAGCAGAGACAGGGAACCAAAGGCAAGCTGGGGTTTTCAGAGATGTAAGTCTCCACATCCCCCATCAGGACATTTGGAGGGGCTGTCATGGTCATCTGGTGGCAAGTGTGCCTCATTTTCCCTTTTAGTCCTGCTGCCACTATCGGTCCCTTGACTTCTAAGTGATTGGGGTCATGATGAGGGAAATAAATCACAGTGAGGCCTTTATTAAGCTCAAATGAAATCCGAGCAGAGGCCAGAGTGGGTAGAACCGCAGCCTTATAAAGGCAGAAAAGAGGATAGAAGTGAAGAAAGCCTTCTGGGTCCTTTCCTGATGTGGAGAGACTGATAAACACCTCTTCCCTCAGCAGAAGTGGGTGAATATCTACCTGGTAGAGGAAAAGGGTTTTCCAGTAGAGAAGTGCCTGGAAAAGGGAGAAGGATAGTTTGGGGTTCAGAGTGGACCACAAGCAGAACATAGATTGAGTGGGCTTGGGGGGAAAGCAACCAGGCTGTCCTGGAAACAGCTCTCCATGGGCTGGGGGCTCCCCACTGCTGTCGGGCCTGGTGTTGCTGACCTCTGCTCTCTCCGCAGGTCTGGAGGACTCTGAACACTGTCAGAACCAGTTCTGCCCTGTGAACTACTGCTACAACCAGGGCCACTGCTACATCTCCCAGACTCTGGACTGCCAGCCCACCTGCACTTGCCCCCCAGCCTTCACAGACAACCGTTGCTTCCTGGCTGGGAACAACTTCACTCCAACTATTGACCCAGGTCTCACCAGATGCCCCCATCACCCTCACCACCATTCTTCTCTCTTTTGGGGGAAGAAGGGGACCTCTGGGGGCCAGGGAAAAGTTTCTTAAACTCACAGGACAGAACTTCTTATTTCTTTTGGGTGGTGGTAAGTTGTAGGCTATGGGAGCTGGTGGGGGCAGCATGAAAAACGGGCTTGAGTGGTCTTATGATAAAAGCCTAAAGGTGGCCTTATGGCTCAGTTAGAAGAGAGTCAGGGAATCCCTGATCATAGTCAAATGAGCTCTAGGGTGAGGGTCAGCGGACTCAGCCACTTCTCCTGATCTATCCCTGTAGCATCGGGTAGTCTTCCTAGACTGGCCCAATGGTCTCAGTGGGTAAATCTGGGTAAACCCAGGAAATGAATATAAATCTGCTTCTCCCATCTCCAGAGTTCCCTTTAAGAACCATCCAGCTCATTCTCAGTGAAGAAGAAAACGCCACTGAAGCAGAGGTCAACGCTTCGGTTAGTACTGCAGGTGGCTCTGAGTGGGAAGAAGGATCCTGGCAGGTTTAGGGCAGGGTCTTAGCCATCACGTGTGCGTTCTGCATCCTCATCATCCATCCATCCAGGGAAGACAGGAGCCTTCTGCCTCAGAAAAGGCTAGGGGTGAGGAAGGCAGGAAGCCACGGGACAGAGCCTTCTGAGGGGGTTGAAATGGCCAAGTTGACATGAACAGAGTCTGGGGTGGCTGAGTCACCCTTGCCTCTCCTTCTGAGAGTCCTTCGAGACCTGCACTTGGGTATTATATGGAAGAAACACAAGAAGGTCTTTCATCACCAGGAAGCCTTCTCTGAATTCCCACACGGACCTGGGGGCTCCCGCTTTTTGGGCCCCATCCATCCCCTTTCCATTCCTCAATCACAGGCAAAGTAACACAGTGGTTGAGTTATGGAGGCTCTAGAATCCTACATACCTGGGTTCATATCCAGGCTCTACCACCCATTAGACCAGGTATAATAATCAGACAAATTATTTGATGTCTCGTCTATAAAAATAGAAGTGATAATCATACCTATGTCAACAGGTTGTGTCAAGGTCTAAATAATAATGTATGTGAAGTACTTAACATGGTACCTGAAACATATATTCAAAAATTAGAATAATAATTACTATTACCACTACTATCACCACCACCATAGCACTCTACACTCTGGTAAAATCTGTGGGCATTTGTCTACTACACCAGACTACAGACCTTTGAGTATGGACGGTTCCTGAATCATGCTGACATCCCCTAGGTCTGCCTAAACATAATCCATATTCAGTATACGTGTGGGGAGACAATGAGTGGGTGCGTCAGGGATCAGAAACAAAGTGGGAGCCATTCATTTCAGGTTCTCCCCTTGTAATAGGAGGCTGGGGTTGGGGGGAGATATGTAAAGTCCTTCACTCACCAACAAACTTTTATTAAGCAGGAACTCATGCCAGTCATGGAGCTAGGCTGGGGTGTGGGGATGCAGAAATGGATGAGATGGTAACATTCTAAGATGGTAACAGACAGGGAAGAATAAATGCATTAAAGTGGAAGGGTCTCCTCTCTGGACTGGGTCTCACCACTACCCCAATTACCTGCAACCATCTGCTCTAGGTGGCCTACAGGCTGAAGAACCTGGATGTGCGGGCCTTTCTCAGGAATAGCAAAGTGCAAAAAATGTAAGTGGGATTGTTCCTGCCTGGTCCCCAAATCCTCCCTCTTACCCCTCACCCCTCAGCCCCTCACTCTGCTCCTCCCCCATAGCAGCTCTCCAGCAAGCGGCTCACTGCAACAATGGCTTGTCATCTCGGAGTTCCAGTACCGCCCGCGGGGTCCTGTCATCCACTTCCTCAACACCCAGCTGCTGGACGCAGTGGTGGAGGCATTTTTACTGCAGGCCCCGCAGGGGAGATGGAAGGAAAGTGAGGAGCCCAGGAACGACGTGGTCTTCCACCCTATCTCCAGGAGAGACGTGCGCAGTTTGACGGCTTGTGAGTCACTATCTTGGGGACAGTCCCAGGGAGAGCTGAGGGAGGAGGTAAACTGAGGAAGAGTGGTCCAGAAATTTAGCCCACACAAACCCATGGTGGAAAAAAAGTATTTTTGTTTATAATTTCTGAGAAGGACATTATAAACATTTTACCTACCAGCTTTCTAGATCCAAGAACAGATCCAACATGGTAAGTCCATTGTTCAGTTTCATAGAACAAGTGTCCCACCTTCTGCTTCCCTAACCACTGCTGCTGATAGTTTACTTTCTTTTCATAAAACTGCTAGTGATTTTGTTAAAATACTATTGTACCTGATATACATAAACACAGACATCCTTTGCCTTTGTCCTCCAGCTGGAGGACATTACATTAAAGGCTGAAGACCCAGCGCGGGGCCAGAGATATCCTCTCCCCAAAAGGGGGTGATCCTTTGCAAAAGCCATTTCCAGCCCAGGCCTCAACACCTTCATCTAGAAAATGAGAGGATTTCTGAGGTCCCCTTCAGCTCTGACAGGCCCTGACTCTCCTGGAACGGGAATGAGATAGGTTGACGAGCCTGTCAGAGAAGGAAAGGAGTAGCCCACCCTATTTGGGGAGCGAGACAGAGAACAGGGCAGTGACCATGCCAAGCCCATTAGAAGCTGTTGTGCTACTTGGGTCCAGAACCAAGCAAGAGCTTCTTCTGGAATGCAGGCTAACCCTCTTCCCTCCTGGGGGGCAACCAGTGTGAAATCCTCCACCTACTATGTGTACGTGTGGTAGGGGGGTAGGGGTAGAGATAAGGGAACAAGTACCCTAGACCAGACCATGCCTTCTGTTTAAAAACAAAACACAGATTTTTAAAAACCCAGAGTTTCTATTATACAAGTACAATATGTTTATTGTATAAACTTTAGGGAACAAGCATTAACAAAAAGAAGAGAAAAAAATCACCTGTAATTCCAGTCTCCAGAGACAAATCCATTTTGCACACATCCTTCTGATTTTTCTTTTATGCATAGGCACCTTTGCACATATCAAATTTTTTTTACAATAAAGGGATTAAATTATATCTAATATTTGATCACCTTATTAAATAATTGTGAACACATTACCTTATATATTGTGTGCACAGTCCCATTTTATATATTATTTTGTAATATATTTTAATATAGTGTGGTATAATATATTTTAAATAGAATGTTATACTAATAGTGACTGTTAATTTAGTGCTTACTGTGTCAGGCGCTATACTGAATACTCATATATATTATCTCATTTAAACTTCATCGCAAGGTAGGTGCTATTATCATTTTCTTTTAAAGATAAGAAAACTGGGGCTGAAAGAATTAAGAAATTTCCCCAAATCACACAACTAGTTTGAATTTCAACACAGGCCTGGCTGACTTCAAAGCACATTCTCTTAACCAATGCATTTTCCATACCATGGTGCTTATTAGTTGCACAATATTCCTCACTTAATAAAACTTCTGTTAAATGTTGTTACTATTTAAAACATGCTGCTCTGGACTTCCATGAACATATGTATTTGCACACTCTTCCCATTATTTCTAAGGATAAATGCCTAAAATTGAATCCTTGATCGAAAAGGAATAGATCTGGTGTTAATCAATTGTTCTTGCTGTTCCTCTGTGTCCTACCTGACAGCGAACGTGAGCACGCTGCAGGCTCACTTAAAATGCAATGGCTACAAGGGCTACAAACTGGTCTACAGCCCGCAGGGCGGCTTCACTTGCGTGTCCCCTTGCAGTGAGGGCTACTGTGAGCACGGTGGCCAGTGTCAGCACCTGCCGGATGGGCCCCGCTGCAGGTGAGTGGGACAGGGGGCAGGGGCGGGAGGCAGAGAGGGCAGTGCTGGGAAATCCAAGCTGGGAAAAGACACTGCTAGGGGTCCAGAATGGATGTCTGCAAATTGGCAATGGCTCCCTGTGTAATTGAGAGAACTGGCATCAGAGAAAAAATGGATAATGGAAAATAAAACGTGTGAGTGCCCCCTCCGTGTGGAAAATAAAGGTGCCATATTACCTCAAAGGAGCTACTAGGTAGGTATTTTTTTAAAGATGAGAAAACTGCAGCTCAGAGATGATCAGGACCCTGCCCAAGGTACCCAGTACGTTAAGTAGTAGGATATGGGTTCCAAAGTCAAACTCTTATACCTGCTGGTGCTTCTTGGGTGGACTCCCTGCTGTGTCATTGTGGGGGAAAAGGAACCCTTTGTCTTGAGTCTAGGCTGGGTTTTGCCCTTTCTTAAGAGTTCCAGGCAGCGAGGCGCCTTGTGTCCGCTTGGTTCATCAACAGTCCGAGGGCCCCCAGGAGGGGGATGCACTAAGTCTGCATGCCTGCCAAGGAGGAGAAGGGCCATGCCTTCCGGGCCCTCTGGTCACCGCAGGGCCCTCCGTCTCCCAGTGGTTCTCAGCCTTCTGGCCCTTTAAATACAGTTCCTCATGTTGTGACCCAACCATAAAATTATTTTCGTGGCTACTTCATAACTGTTATGTTGCTACTGTTATGAATCGTAATGTAAATATCTGATATGCAGGATGGTCTTAGGCGACCCCTGTGAAAGAGTCGTTCGACTGCCAAAGGGGTCGCGACCCACAGGTTGAGAACCTCTGGCTCTACCCTCCTCCCCACTGCAGTTCCAGACCCGCCTAGCCCTCCCTTCCCAGGGCCAAGGAGGAGGTGGTGGAGCCGAGGGCGGGACCCAACTCCAGGCAAGGGGTTGGGCCCTGACAGCTCAGGCTCACCTGCCCCTGGCCTGCCTTTCCCACCCCCAACCCTACCCCCCCTGCTCAGGTGAAGCTGACCTGTCACACACCACGTGGTTTAGGGCATCATTGTTCCGGTTAGCAGCCTCGGAGAGGTCAGCAAACTGCCAGGAAGCCCCCACCCCCACCCCGCCTCCCCTCTATTGACGTGTCCCCTCTCTTTGTTCCCAGCTGTATGTCCTTCTCCATCTACACGCCCTGGGGCGAGCGCTGTGAGCATCTGAGCATGAAACTCGGCGCTTTCTTCGGGATTCTCTTTGGGGCCCTGGGCGCCCTCTTGCTACTCGGGGCCATAGTATTTGCGGTCCATCGCTTCTGGTGCACCAAGACCCGATTCTCCTACCCCCTGGACTCCGAAAGCTGAAGCCTCCACCCAAGGCGGGAGCTGTGGCCTAAGATACCTCAAGACCCACCCCAGACACACCCACTTCCGTCCAGGCGCCTTGGGGGAGATGAGGAAAAGGAAGATGACTGACGGTGACTCGGGATTCTTCCAGGAGAATGACTAACAGGAATGAATAATGATACAGATAAGAGCACAACTTATCAGTTTACATTGAGGTGGACTGGAAGAGACCATAAAGATCTACTACATAAACGGATGGATTCTCACACAGACACTCTCACAAGGAGGACACCCGAATGTACACACACACACACACCAGATTTAATAATGGGGTGATGGTTCTAACTTAAAAACCAAAATGCATTTGTATGTAAAACTCTCCAGTTTACTTCTAATTAAAGTCTATTTAGATAAAATCTCACTGACGTTTTGTGTTTGCAGAGCCATGGGTTCCATTTGTCATTTTTCTCTGTTGGCTAACGGGCTAGGCACGGGGTGGAGGGAGCAGAGGTGCGTTAGCCACAGCCCTGTTTTGGCCCTCAGTACTCCATGCTGGGAAGCTCAGTTGCTCCATCTCAGACATGGATCCTTGCTTCTGCCTCCACATCACTTTCTTCCCCTCACCCCAACATAAGCCAAGGCCTGGCCCTCTTAGGAGAAGGTACAGATCCCTCCCACACGTCCTCTGTCCTTTCCTGGGCCCCAGGCAGTGTCTTCTGAGCCTCTCCAGCCTACCGTCCTTCGGCCCCACTCTTTCTACTTGTTCCCAGCAACCAGATCAGTTTCCACCTTATCCTTCTCTCTTAGCAGGCAGAACTTTGCACCTCTCTCCTGTAACAGCTCCTGCAACTGGTCCACAACTCCTGTGTCCTGGGCACCTCAATCCAGCTCTATGCAGAAACTGGGTAACGGCTTCTTGGTCCTAAATGCCAAATCCCTAAAAAGATAATCTGATTGGTCCAGTTGTCCATCTCTGATTCAATCAAGTGTGGCCACAGGGTGGGAAAGGAGGTCACATGATACAAACCTGGGGCTCAGGCTCACTCTTGTAAATGCGTGAGTCGTGGTGTTGGAGGAAGTTCCCATGGAAGCATGAACTTGCATTTGAGCAGAGATTCCTAACTGTCTGCTTTACATAGAGAAACATCTCCCAGCAGGTGAAGCCCCTCTCATATGTACACTCAGATACCCCAAAATACCCCCAAATGTAATCATGTATCCATATAAAGCCATATTCATTTCATTCCAATGTTCATTTATCAAGAATTAAGCACAGCCCTAGCCAGTTTGGCTCAGTGGATAGAGCATTGGCCTGCAGACTGAAGGGTCCTGGGTTTGATTCCAGTCAAGGGCACGTACCTTGGTTGCAGGCTTCTCCCCGGCCAACACCCTGGACCAGGTTCATGCAGGAGGCAACCAATCAATGTGTTTCTCTCACATCAATATTTCTCTCTGTCTTTCCCTCTCTCTTCCACTCTCTAAAAATCAATGAAAAAATATTCTTGGGTGAGGATTAAAAAATTAAGCACATAGTCCAAATGGGCTCCCTGGTGAATTCTACCAAACATTTCAGGAATCCTAAGAATTCTCTATAATCTCTTTCAGAAGATTGAAGCAGAGGGAATATTTCCTAACTCATTTTATAAAGCCAACTTTACCCTAATACCAAACAAGAACAAGATACCTTAAGAAAAGGAAACTATTCACCAATAGCTCTCATGAAGACAGGTGCAAAAAATCCTCAACAAAATATTGGCAATGGAATCCAACAAAGAATAGAAAGAATTATACATCACAACCAAGTAGTGTTTATCCCAGGTATGCAAGCCTGGTTCAACATGTAAAATCAGCTAATGTAATCATCACATCAACAATCTAAAGAAGAAAAATCATATGATCATTTCAATAGGTGCAAAAAAAAAAGCATTTAACAGCCCTAGCCGGTTTGGCTCAGTGGATAGAGCATCAGCCTATAGACCAAAGGCTTCTGGGTTCGATTCTGGTCAAGGGCACATACCTTGGTTGCAGGTTCCTCCTCGGCCAAGTCCCTGGTTAGGGCTCATCCAGGAGGCAACCAATCGATGTGTTTCTCTCACATCAGTGTTTCTCTCTGTCTTTTCCTCTCTCTTCCACTCTCCCTAAATATCAATGGGAAAATATCCTCAGATGAGGATTAACAAAAGAAAAAACAAACATAAAAAGAATTTAACAAAATCAAATACCCATTTATGATCAAAACTCTCAGCAAACTAGGAATCAAAAGGATCTTCCTCAGGTTGATAAAAAAAAAAAACACCTGTGTGGTGTTCGATGGGTACTAGACTTGTGGGGTGATCACTTTGTAAGTCATATAAATGTCTAATTATTATGTTATACACCTGAAGCTAATATATTGTATGTCAAATGTAATTGAACATTTTTTAAAAATATATTTTATGGATTTTTTACAGAGAGGAAGGAAGAGAGACAGAGAGTCAGAAACATCGATGAGAGAGAAACATCGATCAGCCGCCTCCTGCACATCCCCCACTGGGGATGGGCCCGCAACCCAGGTACATGCCCTTGACCGGAATCGAACCTGGGACCTTTTAGTCCGCAGGCCGACGCTCTATCCACTGAGCCAAACCGGTTTCGGCATAATTGAACATTTTAAACGCATTTTAATCTACAAAAACCTACAGCTATTATCATATTGAGTGGTGAGAAACTTAAAGCTTTTCAGCTAAGACCAGGAACACAGCAAGGATGTCCCCACTCACCACTGCTTTCCAACATCATACTGGGATTCCTAGCTAATTCAAATACAAAAACAAAAAGGAAATAAAAGATACATATTGGCAGATTGGGAAGGGAGAAATAAAACTGTCATTTTTCACAGATGACATGATCACTAATTTTATTTTTTCAATAATAGCCCTGGCCAGTATTTCCAAGTGGTTAGAGCATTGGCCTGTGCATCGAAGGGGTCCTGGGTTTGATTCGGTCAAGAGCACCTAACTGGGTTGGAGGTTCAATCCCCATCCCCACACACTTCTGTGTGATTCATTGTCACCAAAGGGCTTGGTCCATGGGTGCTGGAGCCTGTGTTGAGTAAGACAACTTTGTGAGCCATGAGTCCAAGTGGACTGACTTTGCAGGAGCTCTCATGCTTAGGCCCTGGGCACTGCTGGGAGCAGGATGGGAGGGGAAGGTGCTTTTACCCCATTTGTCATCTACATTTACAAGGAAGAAGGAGGTAGGAATGGGAAGACCAGTCCCATGTGGCAGCGACAAAACTGGGATGGCCCTAACTGATGTCCTCTGATGGCCCTCTTGAGGCAAGCCAGCCCCAGAAGCTATACGGAGCAGCTATAGGATTAAGCCTCGGATTGACCTGTTGGCAAAGTCACAAACAAATCCCAGTTTAGAGGGCACAGTCCTCTTAAGCATAATTAGGCTTGACCTTACCATACTCCCTAGATCATATCTGGGAAGCTAATGGGCTGAGGGAAGCACAGCAAGAACAAGAACAAAAACAAGTGAAACAAACAAGAACAAAAACAAGTGAAACATTTTATTGGTTTTTTACAGAGAGGAAGGGAGAGGGATAGAGTTAGAAACATTGATGAGAGAGAAACATCGATCAGCTGCTTCCTGCACACTCCCCACTGGGGATGTGCCCGCAACCAAGGTACATGCCCTTGACCGGAATTGAACCTGGGACCCTTGAGTCTGCAGACCAATGCTCTATCCACTGAGCCAATCTGGTTAGGGTTGTATGCATACTCTTTATCAATAATAGTGAAACCCAGGGTCCTTATGACCTTGATTAAATTCAGCTTTAAATCCTAGCTCTAGAAATCATATCTCTCACCATATATCTACACCCCAAAGACCTAGCCTTTCTCCATAAGCAGCAACCCCCAGGCAGCAGGAGCCAGTTGCTTGGAACTGACTATTGGTCACAAAGCCTGACCTCTGGTAGGCTACAGATAACATCTTGATCTAAGTTATGTTTCTGTTCCTGAGCCCTAAGAAGGAACCACCTCCTGGCTATTTTCCCATGAGACCAGACAGAGGAACACCAGAACAGACTTCAGCGCTGTCCTCAAGACTTGAAGAAAATAATTTATTACCCTCACCACTGACCAATCAGCTCACAGCATGACCTGAGGCCCCCTAACACACGGCGTCTTGAGATTTTGCCCGATATATTCTGTAACCTACTTGACATCAGACTTTGAGCATAGCTTCCAGTTCCTCTGGAGAGCACCATCCTATATAATAAAGAGGTAATATGAAAATTGACCATAATGTCCTCGCATATGATGGCCGCCCCCTTGTGGTCAAAGATGGCTGCCCCCATTTGGTCACAAGATGGCCACCACAAGATGGCCTGCAGGGGAGGGCAGTTGGGGGCTACCAGGCCAGCACAGGGGGCAGTGAGAGGCGACCAGGCTGGCGGGGGGGGGCAGTTAGGGGTGACCAGGTCTGCACTGGGGGGCAGTTTGAAGTGACCAGCCTGTCGGGGGCAGTAAGGTGACCAGACCAGCAGGGGAGGGCAGTTGGGGGCAACCAGGCCGCAGGGGAGGGCAGTTGGGGGTAACCAGGCCAGCAGAGAGGGGAAGAAAGGTGTGACCAGGCCAGCAGGGGGTGGGGAGGGAGCAGTTAGGAGCGACCAGGACAGCAGGGAGGGGGCAGTTGGGGGTGACCTGGCCAGCAGCAGGGGGCAGTTAGGGGTGACCAGGCTAGCAGGGGGAGCAGTTAGGGGCAATAAGGCCGGCATGCAGGGGGTGATCAGGCCAGCAGGGAGGGGCAGTTAGGGGCAACCAGACCAGCAGAGGTGGCAGTAAGCAGTGACCAGTCCAGCAGGGTTGGGGGGCAGTTAGGGGTGACCAGGCAGGCAGGGGGGGGAGCGGTTAGGAGCCAGCGGTCCAGGATTGTGAGAGGGATGTCTGACTGCTGGTTTAGGCATGATCCCCAGGATCGTGCCTAAAGCGGCAGTCGGACATCCCCCAAGGGGTCCCAGATTGGAGAGAGTGCAAGCTGGGCTGAGGGGATACACACCCCTGTGCACAAATTTTGTGCACCAGGCTTCTCATTCATCAATATCTTTATGTACTGAGATTCTAGAGTTTGGCTTGGCTAGCATTGGGTGGACAGTCTTTCCATAACAAAAGTAATACCTCACATTTAGCTTTATGGCTAATTTTAATTATCCCAAGAAAGCTACTTTCACTCACAAAGGCTGCTGGGAGAAAAACACACACCCAGAGCACTGCCAGGAGAGAAGCCCACAGGACCCTCCTACCCTCTTACCTGCAGAGCTCCCAGGGGCCCCAGCCTCCCAGCAGCAGAAGAAAAGGGGCAGAGCCAGGGCCCAGAGAGAACCCATCCTAGCTGGGACTCCAGCCACTGCTACTCAGCAGATCTTCCCACT